AGCACTGAGAGAGTTGAGGTTGTTCAGCCTGGAGAAGAGGAAGCTCCAGCGAGACCTTATAGCGGCCTGCCAGTGCTTCAAGGGGACCTACAGGAGACATGGGCAGGGACTCTTTTTCAGGGAGTGTAGTGACAGGATGAGAGGTAATAGTTTCGAACTGAAAGAGAGGAGATTGAGATTAGATATGAGGAAGAAATTCTTTACTATGAGGGTGGTGGGGCATGGAATAGGTTGCCCAGAGAAGCTGTGGCTGCCCCTTCCCTGGCAGTTGGTGGGGGGGCTTTGAGCAACCTGGTCTGGTGGAAGGTGTCCCTGCCCATGGCAGGGGGATTGGAACTAAAGATGCTCTTCCAAGGTCTCTTCCAACCCAAACCATTCTATGATTCTGTGACCATGGATCCTTTTCATATACCTCTTTGGCTTGGACAGATTGAAAGACTCTTGTACACTTTCCACTGATATCGTCAAGTTTATTTACTAAATTCTGATCCTGTTTACTACTTGCCTTGTACTATTTAAGTGACTATGTAGAGATAAAACGATTATGCTTTAGTAGCTTATTACATGCTCCTTGTGTAGGACAATGTCTCCTTCTCTGGAGACATGCAAAACCCACCTGGACACGTTCCTGTGTGACCTACTCTAGGTGGTCCTGCTCTGGCAGAGGGGCTGGACTAGATGATCTTTCGAGGTCCCTTCCAACCCCTGGCATTTTGTGAGTCTGTGATTCTGTGACAGAGTTGTAGCAAGTGGTTAATACCCTTGTCTGGGGACCAAGGAGAGCACGGGTTCAGTTTCCTCCTTTACCACAGACTTTTGATTAAAAAGTTGAGCCAGGCTCCTGCCACAACTAATGGTTTGTTGAATTGGGTCTGAATTCTGTTGATACTGTTAAATCAAAAATAAAATACAGTATTTTAAGGATCAAGATAAAAGAACTCAAATGAGTTGGCCTGAGTGGGTGTGTCTTGAGTAACTTACTGACAAATCATTTATGCATACTTTAATTTATTAAATCACAAGTCTGACCTTGTTTGCTGTGTACTTAGAAACAAACGAACAAACACAAAAGTTTGTGCTTAACTTGAAATGTTGATATTAAGTCAAGAAAATACAGTAAATTAAGACTCCACTTGATGGTTCAGAGGCATTTGAACGATTTTGGTGGTGTCCTTTTGTATTCTGGGACAGAGTAGAAAAGCCAATTGCTGAAATTAATCATTGTCTTCTCTTGTGATGTTTTCAACATGAGTTCCAGGTGCTGCATTAAGCATATTGGATTCAAGCAAAACATACTCATGTACCAAATATATTTTACAGGAGACTTAATCATTACTGACAGATAGCTCTTGTCGAAGAATGGCTTCTTTTAGTTCAGATTGTTGGAAAAGACAAAAAAAGCTTTAATTCAAGAAGTCATAGTAATGGGAGACAACCCTGTCCTGAAGGTTAATATGTGAAAATGATAAATGAAGAAGGCATTAATATTACAGAGAGGCTATTGCATTAATATTACAGAGAGGCTATTACATTAATGGGAGTTGTGCTCAACCCCATGGAGATAATGTACTGGGTTCCAGCTGATGCTTTAACGTTAAGTAACCAGGTAATACCCTGAAGATCAGGGAAGCCCCATAAAAGCATTCAGTATAAAACAGAAATGTTTTGATTTGTTGGGGAGATCTAGCAGCACGTAGAAGCCGGGTTGTACCTGACTCCCAACCGAGTCCCCTGCAGCAAGTAGAAAGCTCAGATGTGTTTGGAGAGGTTTTTGGGGTTTGTTTTGGTTTTTGCCAGCCTGTGAATTGAAAACCCATAAAGCAGAGAGACTGGTGGTCAAAGAGAAAGAATGTGATGAAAATGTTAAACTTGTATTGGACACTTCTGTGAAGTCAGAAAGTTTCTGAAATAAAAGGACTCTGAGCCTTGTAATAATGAGCCTCCAGAGGAGATTTAGCTCATCTAGAGAGTTAGCTTAAGGCTGGAATTGACTTTTTTTTTTGTTACCCCACACACATACAGCTGGAAAACATCAGACCAATAAATGTTAAGCTGGTATGGAAAGGTTCGCATCCATAAATGAAGGGTGGAAAAAAAAGCGCTATTCTTTATATGGTGTTGGCACTTAGTACCCCCACAGGGGCTTCATGGTGGTTTTAAAAAAAAAAAAAAAAAAAAAAAAAAAAATTGGTTATCCCTTTGTTAAAATTGACACATGATATTTTGTTAAGGTTTATTGGAGTGAGAAGAATTGTGCCAGAAGTTGGTTGTACCACTGTATTCACCACGGATAATCAGAAATCTGCATTTTAACATGCTCAAGCTCTTTGAGAGATTCCTTTTGGCTGAATATTATTTTTTTTATGTTCTGCAGAAGACTTAGTAAGGACAAGGAGGCTTCTAAGTAGATAGATAAATGGCCCAAATGTTGCTGTTGTGCAAACCTGTTATTGTATCTGCTGGCTTAAATAAGATATTTATAAACCATCCCAATTACCCCTTAGTATTTAGAAGAGAAAGCCCTCCTCCAGATCTGGGAAAATACTCTTTCCTGGAGTGGTAAAATTGAACCTTTGCCATCTTGAACATGAGCATAGCGGTAGCCTTACAGTTACTGTACTTCATCTTCTACTAATGCTGTGCCTGTCCAGTGAGTCTTATATTAAAAGTAAGAAATCCTGGCACGATAGTCCTGAACAGTACAAATTGCCAAGAATATTTGGGCAGTCAGAGCAGCAAGACTCACTTAAATTTGTCCAGGGGACTAGAAACAAATCTCAACCTCAGCTGTCTGGCAGCCGGTGCTCCAGGGTGCGACTCTTTCAGCTTGCTTCTGGAAAAAGTAGTGTGCAGCTGAAAATGGCAGTTGTGTAGCTTGCAGTCGTTAATTAATTTCCTATCGACTGAGCTATTAGGCCTGCAATAATCTTCACATGACACATCACCTTCTCTCTGGAAGTCTGCATCGCGGTGTTGCAGAATACACAAGCTGACTGCTCTCCAGTCTGCCATCCTCGCTGGCGTCCGTTCGTTAATACAGGGCCGGCTTGGTCTCCTGTTACGAGGTGCTCGAGCTTCTCTTGTCTTTCAGGCAGAGTTAAATTGCTGTCTGCAGCCACACGAGGATCACCTCTGCTCTTTTCTCCTCCGCTGCTGCAATATAATAGCACTGGCAACGTACCATAATGCAGCGCTAAGGCAGCTCTTGCTGAATCCTTTGTATGCGCCGCACATCTGGATAACTGCGCTTCGGGCCATCTATTCGCGTGGCACGTTGCCAAGTCAGTCTGGTTAGGCTTGTCAAGGATACCAGTGCCAAGCAGCAGGGAATGTGGGATAATGAATCCAGTCTGCGTAACACCAGATGCAGTGTGTGGCCTTTATTGAAAATTTATTCTGTTTTCATTTGCTTAACCTTTATGTTGCCATTTCTGCTCATGCCAAAAAACAGTCTCTAAACATGGAAAACCTCAAAATTCAATCACTTGGAAACTGCCACTCGAATTGTGATACAGAAAGCATGTCAGGAAAGAGAAGCAAAACACTTGGATTATCAGTGTCTACTGGGAATATCAGGTCTTCAGATGACTGAATCATGAAATGCCAGAAAATAACCACAGCCAGATTAGAGTGTGATATTAGTCGCTCTGTTGGCACTTGGCCAAGCAATCTGCTCAGACTCAATACTTGAAAAGTCCCCTCAGAAACTGTGTACTATGGCAGATGTTGATTTTAATACTTCAGTTTCTTTTATCCCTTTATCAGCTTTTGTCTGCATTTTTAAAATGGGTTGGTCTTGCTGAAGAAGTGGCTTGATCCTCAGTTAGGAATCGTCTAGAAGTGCCAAGAAGGAGAAATAAGGCTGTGGGAAACTGGATAAGGAGTTAGTAATGGGTCTGGGTAGGGAACAGTTTTGCTGTGCTATTTGGTGTGCCATCACATAAGGGCTGTGCTTTATTCTGATCTTAAATTTTACTCGCTTAGCGCTTGGACTGAGCTGTGGCTACAGAATGGATCAAAGGGAGGAAGTGTTTTGCCTAGACTTTAGCACCACTTAAGATTTTTGGGAAATGTGCAAACATGAGGGAAAACGTAGGCTGTTCTTTTTCAAGTTAGTTCAGTTACTCTTCACCTAGTATTAAGTGATGTGTAAGCAGTTACAACAGTGTTTTTGAATTGATTCATGTTTCTGGACATACTTAGTTTCAAGAGCTTAAAAGACATTGGAAATGAAAATGGTTTTGAGACTTCCCTGGCTCCTGCCCATATAGAGCTGCTTAATCAGGAGGCAGAGGGGCTCTAGGGGAGATGCTGTCTGTGTTCCGCTCTGGATACTTCCAGAGCCATGTGGAAGCCTGAGCAATAGATACAAGAGGAAACGCTTGCTGCTTTAGCACCTTAGATACATTTTAAAGTCAATATAGTATCCCTTTCCCCCCCCCTCCGACAATTAGGACCCTGCTTTAGGGAAGCATTTTTCCCCCTTAACCAATTGTGATTTATTCTATGTTGAATGCAGCTGAACTGAAACGTATAAAGAGTTAGATCATGCAGGTACTGAAACATATAAAGAGTTAGATCATGCAGGTACTTGAACAAAGGTCAATAATTTCATGTATTGGCCATAATGTTTAATAAATGGACATTACGTGTTTCTTTCTGGACCTAAAGGTTTCTTTACTGCACAAATCAGCAGAGGTTCATTTTCAGTACACTAACTCATCTGGTTTTTCATGACTTACAAATTGACTCACATACAGCAATGATATGCTTTGGATGGAGAGGAGGAGGAAGGAATGTATGTCTTCTGTAGTACATGAAGGCAAACACTAATTTCATGTAAAATCATGAAAGGGAAATGAAAGCTATGCTTTCCTGCAACTTCTTCATGACTGTCTGGGCTAGGTTTGAAAAACAGCTTAAAGTCTTGAAACTGTTTTTTTTTTAATTGATTTCTCTGTTGAATACAATGTAACTCTCCTCTCTCCTTTCATCAGAAAAATGAGTGGTGGGTTGGCACCAAGCAAAAGCACCGTGTATGTGTCCAATTTACCCTTTGCTTTGACAAACAACGATCTGTACAGGGTAAGTTTTTAAGAGCAGCATTGTTCAGATTAAACTTGTTGACAACAGTTTTGAGTGTAAATACAATACTGATATATATCATTATTTAGAAAAGTTGGTCTTGATAAGTGTATTACTAATGAAATGCAATTGTCTATTGTTAAATCTTTTTATTTTGTTTTATATTTCAGATATTTTCAAAGTATGGGAAAGTTGTGAAGTAAGTGACCTGATATAACCTGCTGGTTTTGTAGCTTTCTTTTTAAATATTTAATGCCTTTTCTTCACTTGAAAGTCTTGTGCTTTTTATAATTTAAGTATGAATGTTGAACTGTATTGAAGTTCTGTTCGGTTTTAATAAAGTATAAATTTAATTTAACAACTGGAAGTTCTTGCCATTACACGTGTAATGTAAGAATATTTGTGTTTGGGACAGGTTTTGCTAACCACTTCTTAAAGAGTAAGTGGAATATTGTTATATACCAATGGTCTTTTCTCTGAAATAGTTGAAACAATATTATTCTAGTAAGTGGTGTTCTCCTTCCCCAGAAAGCCACCTGGGACACAAGTGGATAAGTGTAAAAGTGGGAGCTCTTACTTACGTGAACTAGATGTCACAATCCCCACAACTGCAGCAGCAAATATCTACTCTAGCTTCTAGTAGCTGCTGTAATAATCTGTGAGATACAGAGCTAAATTCAAAGCTCTTCAAGTCTCAGGAGTGTGTTTCAGGTGACAAATAGCAGGAAAAGCCAAATTGTAATTATAGAAACACTTATTTTTTTTAAATTGACTGAGAGGAAAACCCTCAGACATGCGGTGACCAGTACAACTAGGCACCTACAGTCTCTGGTGTTTGTAGGATGGTGTGTCTGACCTATTTTAGTTGACTGCTGAACTACCAGTTTAGAAAAATCCTGAGAAAAGGTTGTAGTAACTCTGGTGTTTATCCATCGAGGGGACTGTTCTCCATAAATTTGACAGTTCTGTCCTCCCTGCTGTCCTTTGGTAATACACCTATACACTGTGTGGGGGTAGGGGTCTCCTACTCTCTTGGCTTTTGAACTTATTTGGTAGGAGGGTGAGAATTGTATGAAGTATTGGTTGTATGATGCATTGCTTATTTTAAAGGTGTCATAGCAGCATTCTCTTTTTTTTTTTTTTTTTTCCCTTTTTAATAGTTTCTAGCATTTTATTTCGGGTTTTTTTTACTGTCACAGACAGCAGAAATGGTGTTTTTTGGATGCCTATGCAAAAGAAATCCTGTGCTGTGTCCTGTGTGAAAGCAGCTAATTTAGAACTTGCAATGCTATCTGTGCAGTTACTGTTTCCCCCCCACCATACATTGTTTTGCAAAAAATTCACTTACTGATAGGTAATTTTTCCTGACGTTTTGTCTAGTCACTGCCAAAAGTTAAATCAAATGCAGAGTCACAGAATACCATGTGTAAAATACTACTGTGATTTTTTTTTTTTTTCTGGTATCTAGCAAAATTTGTTTCCTGTTCACTCCTTTGCAAGCTGCCCTCACTACAAATAGTGCAGGTGTTGTGGGATTCTACTGGTATTCCCATTTCGCTGTGAAACTGAAGCTAACAAGGATCAATTTTCCTGATTTGTAACTAGTAATTAATTCCCAAGAAAAATATTTTGAAATATTAGCTTGATCTCTGTAGAGTCTTTGTTCAGGGACTTTAAAACACTTTACTGAAGGCTTTGCGATGCCTTCTAGGTCAGCTTCAACTTAATTAAATAAACTTCAATAGATCTTTTTTTGAAGTTTGTCTTGACTCAGCAAAATCATGCTGACTTTTGTTCAGCACTGCATTTCTCACTCCAATATATCCTGACTATTATGATTTCAGCTCAGATTGTTCAGTGAGAAATCAGACTTTCTGGGGTTCCAAGAAGTTGCTGACTTTCTGAAGATTTGTCACACTTGTGTCTTTCTATGCTTGTGTTACTAACTGTTATTTTCATTACGACACTCATAACAGGGTTCCGTTGGAACTCTTGGAAGAGTAGCTTGGCAAAAGAATTAACAGAAGTGTTCTAAAGTCAGTTTTATTGACATTTCAACTTAATGTATTCAATTGGACACATCCTTGTCCAAGAGGCTTTGATAGAAAAACTGTTCTAAGCTCTATCTTTCTGTGCGTGTATTTGGGGAAAGATTGAGCTTGCTTTACTGAGCTTTTATTTTATACACATTTTACTATGTAGGTTATCTGTTACTTGTACAGGTTCTCTGGTAGGCCTTCTGCATTGAAGTGGGATTTGTTTGGTTGGTGGTTTTTTTCCTCAAAAATGTCCCATTACTACTTAAAATTGTGGCTTGCCTTATGGCTGAACCTTGTTCTGCCCATGGTGGATGCAGGGAGGAGTTTATTCCCAACTTTTTAATGTGTACTTTTATTTTTATGTACCTGCAGACTGGCATCCTGTTTCCCACTGTTGGTTTTGTGGGGGGTTTTTAAGGGCTAAAACCAATTGACATTAAGATTGAGAGAATCGAGGTTGTGTGGCTTCCACTCCACTCCCCCTTCATGTCTTGTCATTCTTTTTCTTAGTCTGTTGTTTTTACTGGGTCTAAATCTTTCTTGAATTTCTTGATGTGCTACTGGAACTGTTGACTCCCGTATTAGCCTGAAGATTCAACTTCGTGTGTCATGTAAAATAGCACATGCATCTGTGACCTGCTTGGATTCCAGCTGGAGATATTTGTAGAACAGTACTGCATATATTTATCATTTCCTATCATGAACCTGCTTAGCTGGTTAGTCCTACACAAACACAGATTTCTGATTTTGGATGCAGTTCAATACACCGTTTTTCAGCAATGATAGCAATGGTCAAGATTAGTCCTGAGTTTTAATTTCACCTCCAGTATGTGTAATTGCCTCCAGTTACGTTGTCTGCAAATCTAAATTTAGAATATGTTATCTGTTCTTCAAGTCATCCAAGGGCATAAAGAATGATGCTGGGCCCAAAAAGACCCCACATACTTTTTTTTTTTAAATCATCTCCACTCTACCTGTAAGCACATGGCCAGGTTAGCTGTTCCTTTGAATTTCTGTTTAGTGAGCCTTTCTATTGTTAAATATACTTTTTTCTTTTTGCTGTATAACAAAGCTAAGTTTCTGCTGAGATCTTTAAGGAAAAAAAAAGTCTCTGAAGTAATTTTAGTGTATCAATAATGTGGTTATACGTTTTCAGAGTTACTATTATGAAAGACAAAGACACCAGGAAGAGCAAAGGAGTTGCCTTTATTTTGTTTTTGGATAAAGAATCTGCACAAAACTGTTCTCGGGCACTTAATAACAAACAGGTAAATTGTGGAAAGTTATGGTGGGAGGGTTGCGTTTACAATCCCAAAATATTTACCTTTTTTTTTTCCAATTTGCTGTAGTTGTTTGGAAGAGTAATAAAAGCAAGTATTGCCATTGATAATGGAAGAGCAGCAGAATTCATTCGCAGGCGTAACTACTTTGATAAGTCTAAGTGTTACGAATGTGGGGTGAGTAAAACCAAAAATGAACTAATGTATTCCATCTTTTCACTCTGCCGTGGTTTAACCCCAGCCAGCGAGCACCACACAGCTGCTTGCTCACTCCTGCAGTGGGATGGGTGGAAGAGAATTGGAAGGGTAGAAGTGAGAAAACTCGTGGGTTGAGATAAGAACAGTTTAATAATTGAAGTAATAACAACAATAACAATAATAAATTGTAATGAAAATAACAGAGAGAAATAAAGCCCAAGGCAGACAAGTGATGCAAATGTAAACAATTGCTCACCACCAACCGACCGATGCCCAGCCAGTCCCCAGGAAGCAGCCTCCTGGCCAACCTTCCCCCTAGTTTATTGCTGAGCATGACATCATATGGTATGGAGTATCCCTTTGGCCAGCCGTCCCAGCTGTGTCCCCTCCCAGCTTCTTGTGCACCCCCAGCCTAGTCGCTGGTGGGGCGGCGTGAGGAGCCTTGGCTCTGTGTAAGCACTGCTCAGCGATAGCTAAAACATCCCTGTGTTACCAACACCGTTTCCAGCACAAATCCAAAACACAGCCCCATACAGGCTACTGTGAAGAAAATTAACTCTATCCCAACCAAAACCAGCACAGACTTTTACCTTGTTTCTTCAGTTTGGCCATTGCTAATCCTCCCTGTGCTGTAAATTTTTTTTTTTTTCTGTTGATATTATCGACTTGCATAGCAGTTATACCATTGTCAAGAGTGATAGTATCCATTTTGTCTTTTATTTGGGATTTTGAGGGTGGGGGAAAACATCTACATATAATTACTGCTTAACACGCTGATGGACAGATCTGAGTATCAGTGTAAAGCTGTTTGAGAAGGAAAACCTATTTTTGCTTCAAAATACCTGCTTTTGCTATATCTTTGGAAGTTCATGATATAGTTGGCAGCAAAATAAATATTGGAAACAACTGGTTTTATACAGAAGTGTGTGTTAAGTTTTAGGCAATTCCTCACTTTTCCTGAACATAATAACATAGGAGATTGAGCTTCAGATAGTATCCGGTATCAAATACAAATTTGATTTATATTCATAACACCTTTTAGAGCAAAGATGTTGACTCACTCCTGTTTCTTAAACTGTTAATGATGAGGTTTATATCTTGTCTTGAACATAAACCATGCTGTAGTGTGTTCAGCTATTGCAGCGGCCCAAGAAAATCTACTTTGCTCAGAGCTTGTTCTCAATTTGCAGTTAAACATGCATATCGCCACCAATCTCTTCGTTTCCATGGCAAGCCTGTAGAGAAGAGTTTGTCTTCTGTGTGCTAATTCAGCATTCCATTTATCTTACTAATTGCTTCCATTTTTTCCCAGTGAACTGTCTTACATTAAGTTTCCTCATGATGTGTTTTAACATATAGTTGTTTGTAATGGTTTCTGTTAAGCAATATTTCTTTTTCTCCAAGGAAGCAGGACACTTAAGTTATGCTTGTCCTAAAAATATGCTAGGAGAGCGGGAGCCACCAAAAAAAAAAGAAAAGAAGAAGAGAAAGAAAATAGTTGAGCCAGAAGAAATGTATGTATATTTATTTACATGTTACTAGTAGTTTTAGAAAGCTTTTTCATGCTGAACACTTAAAATAAAGATCTCTATATTTTTCTCTCTCTCTGCACAACAAAGTGAGGAGGAAGAAGAAAGCGAAGAGGAGGGAGAAGACCCCGCTTTAGATAGCCTCAGCCAAGCCATAGCTTTTCAGGTACAGAATTGAAGCATTGTGTATTTATTATTGTTATTTAAATGCAACTCTACTTCCTTTTTTTAGCTGCTTTTCAGAAGCTTTAAGATACACCCGTAGGTCGGTCCGCTCTGCAGCACTCACGGTGCTCTTGCCTGGCAGTACTTGGTGACTAGAGTTGGTTTCTTCATATTACAGGCATGTTCAGGTGCAGGGTGTTTTGGTTTGGTTTTTTTCTGTTTCACTGTTGCTGTGTTTGTGCATTTCAGTTTTTTCTTCCCTGTGAGCTGTTTGGCTGCTTATTTTCCTGTCGTATCTGCTGTGATGCTCTATGAGGGTTTTGGTACACAAACCCCTCTTTACTCTTGATAACTGAACTGCCAGAAAAAGTTGCGTATAGATGACCAGGTACATCCCCTGCCCCCACTGACTAGAATATCCTTGAACAATATCTATTACTGGCGCACTTCCTTTGGCTAATACAATCCATTGTGGTCTCTATGACAGAATCACAGCATCATATGATTGTTAGGTTGGAAGAGACCTCTAAGATCGTCAAGTCTAACCATCAACCTAATGCCACCATGCCCAATAAACCATGTCTAGAAGCGCTGCATCTACAGGTTTTTTGAACACCTCCAGGGACGGTGACTCCACCACTTCCCTGGGCAGCCTGTTCCAATGTTTGACCACTCTTTCAGTAAAGAAATTTTTCCTAATGTCCAATCTAAACCTCCTCTGGGGCAACTGGAGGCAGTTTCCTCTTGTCCTATCGCTTGTTACTTGGGAGAAGAGACTGACCCCCACCTCACTACAACCTCCTTTCAGGTAGCTGTAGAGAGTGATAAGGTCCCCCTCAGCCTCCTCTTCTCCAGACTAAACAACTCCAGTTCCCTCAGCTGCTCCTCATAAGACCTGTTCTCCAGGCCCTTTACCAGCTTCACTGCCCTAGTAGACCTCTTCTCTCAAAACATGTTTAATGCATTTTTTGTTATGTAGATAGATATTCCGACAGCTGTATCACTGTCTTCTTTAACACTTTACAGGCTTTTCCTTCACTACACAGAGCAAGCCTGACCTGTTGTTCAAGTTTCTTGGCTTCCTAGTCCTCAGCTATCCCCTGTGTGCCCACGTTGCCCCCCCAAAAACCCACAAGAGTTTTTAAGATAACTGTTCTGAATATGACTGTAACGAGTGCAAAATTATCCCCCCCACCCCCAGAAAACTCTACAATTGAAAGTAAAACCTATAAAGGTGAACAAACCAGAAAATGTTTCTCTTGCTATCCAAAGATTTTAACTGGGATAGCATATTTCCCAGTAAAAACAGGAAGCATCTGTTTAAACCTTTAGTTGAAAAACCTTCACATCCTTGAAGACATTCACCCCTGAATGAAGGACTGCAAAAGACAACAGATAGAAGACTTGTTAGTGGAACAAAGCTGATTCAATAATGTCAATTTAAAACACAATGCATTTTCTGATTCAGATCTCAGCTGCTCTATAGTTCTGTAAGTTTCCCGTGGGCAAATTACCTCTCTTTGAAAAGAGAGGGTACTCCATGTGGTCCACATTGGTGCAGACTTACTATTGCATGTGAGAATTACTTCAGAAATGTTTTTTAGTGCATTCGTTGCACAGCTTGTCTGGAAATGGAGATAAACCCTCTGAATTCTTTAACTTATTAAATAATACAATGCGTATTAATAATGAGTGTTATTATTTGTAATTCATCTTGATTTTTCTTAATCCTAGCTAATACTTTCCTGTCTTTCATTGTAGCAAGCCAAAATTGAGGAAGAACAACAGAGATGGACACAGACTGCAGGGGAATCTTCAATTTCAGATGATTCAAAACGTCCACGGATTAAGAAAAGCGCTTATTTCAGTGATGAGGAAGAACTTAGCGATTGAAATAATACTGGTTTCTATGCATATGTAATATATATATAGTGTACAGTTTGTAAAGTGCTACAAAGTTCTCTGGAATACAGGTTTGTCTTGGTGTTGAAGACACTTAGTGAAAATCATGTAGTAGTTCTACTCTTTCCCCCAAGCCTCCCATCTTTTGATATCTCTCAAAATTTCACCTTTCAAGGCAGCTGTTTAAGAAAATGATGTTTCTACACTTAAATCGAGAAACATATCTGGGAGGATGCGTCTTAGTATCTAGACCCTGGGAGTGAAATCTTTCATAAGAGAATTTTCCAAGATTTTTTTTTTCCCAGGAGGAGTTCCTCCTAGGGTCACTGTTAGCAGTACTGATGCTTTATGTATTGGTCTGTTTATTGCCTGTTTGGAAGCAGTGCTTTAGTAGTACTTTAGTGTTATATGAATCTTGCACTAGTTCTTCTGCACAGGGTTGAATTTCAGCCTTAAGCATTGTATGAGTCTTTTAATTCTTCATGCAGTAATAGAATAAATTACTGTCACATCAACTTGGTCTGTGAAATCATTTTAGACTAAGCAATACATCTGTCTGTCTTCCAAAAGGATATTAAGATGTTGATCTTCGGTGTTATGCACAGTTCTAGTAACTTGCTGTACACTTCATAGTGTTATATAGCCTGTATACAATCTCGGCTTCATAGGACGTGCAAGTTAGAAGTGATGTGGTGATTAGTCTTGAAACATAAATAATATTTCAAGAGTGATAGTTCTATTGCTCTAATATTAAAAATTAGAATGGCCTTTTTTTTTTCTTTTTTTGAAAAGTGGGAATGTGCATATGTTTGAATATCCTCTCATCTGATATTGGCAGTCCCTTGCTGAGAAGGGCTTACACTGCACTGTTTCCCCTGACTGCAGTTTGGGTGCCTAATATGTTAATTATGGTTATGCACAGGGTTTTAAATATACTTTTATCTAACGTGGATCACAGTCCTATATTCTCAGGTATCTGAACCTGCTGGCAAAATGCGAAAGGCACAAAGTTTCCTACATGCTTAAAAATCAGCTTTCGTATACTCTTGGAGCTGTCATTGTCTCCAGACAAAGTGTGTTGGTGCCTATTTTGCATCTCAGGGTGTTCAGGCCTTTTAAATAGGGTCTCCAACCTTAAATCTCTGTAGGGTTCTAGTCATGTTCTCCTAAAAAGCCTCACAGACGCATTAGGAGAACAGTACAAAACCCTGCAGCAGTGATCACTCCCAAAACCACAGACACATGGTGATGGTGGTAACCCTTTTATATTGGCCACTTTGTGTGGTCAAACTTTTCATTTTTAGGAGGCACAATATAAAGCACACTTGCACTTTCGCACTTGGAAGAAGAGACCGGCTGGCCTCTGTTTCTGTTTTCAGCTCTTCCTGTTGCTCATCAGGACTTGGTTTTCTTCCAAACAAAGAAAATGTAAATCCAAATATACCATTATGTATTCTTAATTAATGCCAATTTACATTCAGATATATAACTGGGTGCAAAGACACACACACACACACACACACACACACCCCCTCTAAGCTAACATAAAGCAGTCACATTCAGAAGGTCATTCTGGGGTCTTCTGTTGCTGCTGTCACAAGAATTCAGAAACAAGAATAAAGTAAAAGATTTTTCTTTACAAACTACTCAAGCCACAGAAGGTGCAGAAATATTGGGCTTTATACATAGGAAGGTCTTGAACTCAGTCATCCAGAGGGTGTTTTCAAGACTCACTTTGTGACTTTCTACTGAAAGTACTAGATATTAAATCTGAAGCTTGCTTTACTGAAAGACTTCTTGATACTGAATAGCCGAGTGCTAAAGTGTCAGGTGTTAGTAACTAAGTTAGTTATTTAGTGTTAATAAATGCAAATCACCGTACATCATGTGTGTAATAATGAAGACAGGAGTTCTAAACTCTGCTAAGGAAGAAAATCTTGTTGCCAGCGTGCTTCTCTACAAAGGCTAGGTTAGGGCTCAATGGCAGTGGAAAAAAAAAATGGAGAGCAAAAATACTGTGCCGCTACTTCAAATTGGGGTTTGTCAGCTGGGGTTTGTAGTCTTCTCTAATACCATGTTCACTGCTGTTTTTAAAAAAATTACGGAAAACTTAAAGGTGACGGACATTGTCCATTACTTTGATTTAGGGATGTTGATAGCTCTTAAGAATTAAGATTTCAATGAAGTGATCAGGCAGCAAGTTCCAAACTTTTATTTCATTGCACTGTGTAATGTAGTAGTGGAACTCACTGCTGTGAGACTTTTTTCAGGGTCATAGGGTCAAAAGGATTAGACTTACATGTGGAACGTGATACTTAAAAACATTAGTTTAAATTCAGTCTCCACTTGGAAATACCCTAAATTACTGACTACCTCTGACTGTAAAATACAGAGAGATATTAACAGTCTAGGAATGTTTCATTCTTATATACTTTATTGTTTCATATTTGGTACTGGTTTCTTGTCAGAAAGAATAAGAACGAAACTGACCCTTGTTCTGACCTAATGCATTACTTTTCCAAGATCCGCAGTAGCTGAACCATGTTGATGTATCTTTCTACTCTGCTGCTTCTGCCTCAGTGCTTTCCCCGTAGGATTTGCTTTTGTCAGCATGAAGCAGTAGCTCAGTCCGGACTGCTACAACTGACCCAGTAGTGTTCCTCCATGCTCTTTTGTTCCAAGCATAAAGTCACTTGAGGCAGCTGATATTGGAAAAGAAACAGATAAAAAAGAGCCTGCTTCTGTGCAGAATTGGCATCTAGAATTCTTTACCTCAATTCATCTTTCTTTAATGGTTTTCTTAACTCTGTTTGAATTTCTGTTGATTAGCAGTGCTTATAGTTTTTGGCTTAGGGTCAGGGTAAAGAAGAAAGCACCTAATGCCTGAAACAGGACCTGGAGGGACTTTGGGGGAGTAGATTTTTGCACTTTGGTCTCCTGAATAATTTCTATTCTTTGTTGACAGGATAATGAAGCATCTCTACATGAAAAATTGAGAACACTAGCATTAGATAACCATTAAGTTAGATAGCATGAGTACCTGTTCTGCTTGCTTAAATCCAGAGTTGTTGTCTGCAGCACCCCCTGAAGCAGCTGTCTCATTCTGGAGAAAGGCCAAAATTTGTCAACTAAGTCCCTTTCTGATCTTTGAAGTCCAAGGGATTTCCTCCTGTTTGTTCCCAAGCTCACCTACTCCAAGCAGCATGGCTTTAGGTTTCCATCTGAGGCTGATCAGTGCTGAGAAGCAGCTAGGTGGAATGCCAGCTAGGTTCCTAATTTAGATCAGGCCAATAGGGTGCAATTAGTTTTTGAAACCTGAGCAACAAGAGTGCTGCTTTTGCTGGAGTTTGGTATCCTAAAGCACCAGCTCAGGAAGCAGAAAACAGCTTTGGTGGCTGCATGGCTCTTGGTCGGACAGATGATGCTCTGTAGCCATGTCAGCGAAAGACAGAAGAATAAAACCTGCCTTGTAGAACACCTTCCTGTTATTGTTAGAAAACCCACAGGCGTTTATTGGGGGGGCGAGGGGTGTTAGGGATTTACTTTGAGGACCTAGCTTAGGCTAGCAAGCCGAATGCTAGTTTCAGAGTATATATCACGTGGCTCTGATTATAGAGAAAATGACATTAAGTGGCAGGCAGAGGGTTTTTTTTTTTTAAATGTCAAAAACTTGGATCTTTCTGCAAACATCCACTTACTAGATTTTGTCTTTCATATTTTCAAAACAGCTTGAAAACTGTCAAAATAATGCTTTCTGGGTCATGGGTCCTCTTGTCTATTGAAATGGCTAACTGAGTCTCAAAAGAAGCTGACTTTTATCTGTCCTTGGAGAAGAAGGGACTGTGGAAGGGGGATAAGGATGATTAGCTTAACTGATTATAAACGGTATTACTCACTGTGCCCATGCAGCACTTGTTAAACCATTGCAGCCATGAGACACTGGAGTAAATTTAGTCCATGTTTAGCAGGCTCGCACTATGTTCTTGGCATATTCAGGTTACTACTCTCAGCAGAGCAATAGAAGGGGCTGTAAATACAAAGAACTATGTGTAGCTAAATAGGTGATGTCTGGAACAAATTGTAAACAATTTATCTTTGGCTTCTGGGTCACTGAGTTCTCTAGGATAGCCCGTTTTTAATCTACAGAGATGACTTATGAGAAGGTAAGCTGTGCACACTGTTTGGCTGTAGTCTTTTGAGGAACAAAATATTTAATTGCTTAGAAAAGCTAGATGTAAAACCTGGTATTTAAAAATGGGACTTACTAAGTGCTACTATGAACATTTAGAAGTAACTAGTATAGAGACCTCTTCGTTTCCACTTTCTGTTTGGCATCTGCAGTGTCAACATGATAATATATACTATCACAATTCCACCATTGCTCTTCCATAAAAATATTTCAAATAACACTCTTCCAGATGTGCTATCTTAAAATAACTGGTATTGGATAGCTGATTGCTTCTTTTTAGTATAGGTTATGAAACTGTTTTTAGGTGTTCTTAAAATGTTCATACTAAACAGCTTTGTTTATCTTGCGGATCTTAACAGGGTGAGTTTTTCCTGTAGCTGTTGACAGCAATATTAAAAATTACTACACTGTTCCTTCTTTAGAGAAAAAGGTGTAAAGTGGAGGGTTTAGTCACTCTCAATGTAGATGACCTTGTTCCTTGTATCTATCCCAGTGTCTGTAAAACATGTCCTAGAAGGGATAAGCTGAGATTTTGTATGTAAAAGAAAGCAATATTTTTTAAGTTGAGGACTTGTACAGGTTTTATGAAATAACATTTCGTCAGTGCCAGGCTAACTCTGACCCTGCTGTGCATTCAGAGAAGAGATGTGTGCTCACACAAGTATTTAATGGATATGATAAGTAACACGGCAAGTAAAGAGTTACAGAAATTGTGGCAGTAAAATGTGATAAAAGCGTGTGTGAAAAATCTAACCAACTCAGTGAGGCAATGTAGGTCACAGTGGCTTGAAGAAATACCACA